TCACACCATCTGCTACCAAGTTTTTTTTTATTTTAACTTTAAAATAAAAAGGCTAAACTGCATTTGTAAAACCAACAATCGGAAGCCTATGCACAGTAACACTTTCAACACTTACCCCACTGAGAAAATGTTTAATGTCCTCTAATGCCTAAACTACAGACCAAGTCTGGGAATATGATAATGTATAGGTTCAGTTAACTTCTAATATAGCTCACTGCTTAGTTACATATCAGAGCTTGAGAGGTTCATGGTAAGTGTATGAGAGACTATTAATCAAATTCACCTAAATATTTTTTTCTTCCATTTTCTGCAAATCAAGTTACTGAGGAATAAGACTTTGACTCCTTTTTGTTTGCAAAGTCAAAAAACCATTGAAACCCAAAAACCAACAGTAGCAAAACATTTTCAAAAGCACTTAAATGACTTATGCTCTTATGTCCTATTGACTTTCAGTGTTTGTCACTTTTGAAAATGGGACATAGGCTTTTAAGTGACTTTGATGGGTCTGAAAATGTTTAACAAAGATGAATTAAGAATTAAAAGACAAAATGTGACTGTAAATCATTTAAGATCATGATAATGTGATTACACACCTTTATGACAGTGTATATCTTGCCTATGTTAACGTAGTTGTTAAACAGATCTTACCAGTCTGATTCACTAATCGCAAGCACTTACTCAGCTGATAAATTCTTGGAGAAAAGCCAATTTCAGATTGTCTCTACTCAAGGAATGTAAATCTGAGAAACTGCAAAATCTTTCAATGAATTGGTGTGAAAAACCATTACGTTTTCACGGTGAGAGATTTGCGCTCAATCTAAGAGTTTATCTAAGAGATGGATAAGAGGTGACTTGATCAGGGACAATGAGTACCTAAATGGAAAGAAGAGATATTAATGGTTTCTCTTTGATTTAGCAGACAAAGGCATTACAAGAACCTTTGGCTGGAAGTTGAAGCTAGATTAATTGAAATTGGAAATAAGGTGTACAAAGAACCATTGTAACCCTTTGCCAAGGGATGAAGTGGCTTCTCAGTTTTTCAAGATTGGGTGTCTTGCTAAAAGATACATCTCTTGTTCATTCAGAAGTTAAGCTTGATGTAGGAATTACTAAGTGGCATTCTGTGGCCTGTGTTATGCAAATCAAACTGGATAAGGCCCCTCTGGCCCAATGAATCCCAATGACAGAATGGAGAGCTTAACAATTTATTCACATCTTTATGTAGTTCTATCTACCTACCAATGCAGAATTGTTTCCTACTCTTTGTTTTCTAGAGTTTTGTCCAGTCTAGTCCTAAATGTTGTTGTTCAATTGATGGTCCCTATTTGTATTCCACTGTGCTCCGTGCGAATGAGATCAGAAGAATTTTGCTAGCAGTGTCCATTTGTCCATGCCTATGCTCATCACCTTATGTTTCAGACCAAGGGTATACGGGGTGGCGCAGACTAACAGCATCCCCTGTTCCTTTCTGCAGCCTCATGATCTCAGATGGAACCCTTCAGTTTCCACTGTTATTTCTTCAGCGTTTTCCTGAAAATAATGTAAATAAATTTGATATATTTAGATAGTTTTTAATGTTTAGCTAGTTAGATTAAATAAGGAGTTGGGGTGTCCTTCCCTTTGCTCCCCATGGGGCAACTATTATGCCCAACATCTCAGGATTCAAAAACTGTATTTCCTGCCCCTGGACTTTCCTGGTCAGTGACAACTATCAGAAATGTCTCTACTGCCTCAGAGTAGCTCATGTCTCTTTGACGTGTGCTATTCGCCAATCCTTCCCCAGCTGAACTCACCAAGCATGTGACTACAGACATAGGAAATTTCATATTGATTGTGTAATGAGGCCCCAGTCTGACCCTAGCACAGTGGATCTCAACCTACTTACCATTGTGGGCCGCATATGCATCTCTCTGTGTTATGTGGGCTGCATCCACACAATGTATATACTACCGGTATGGCCCTGAGGATGATACATGGGCCACAGCTGTGTGCTGATTGGGCCACAAGCGGGCCGCAGGTTAGGACCACTGCCCTAGCAGGTAGACCTCCCTGTAAAATGAAATGTACCTAGAAGTGCATTTCACAGTGTTAACCTCTGACACAGGGGTTGATCAGAGCCAAGGAAACCTCCTCACAGGCACCAGGAGGGTAGGAAATCTTCTAATAAAGGAAGAAAGAAATCCTCTTCCAAAAGGAAGACTTCTTCCTCACCATAATCGAAGCCAGTGAGGCTCTGCACTCTGGAATGGGAAGCTCAAAAGCTCATAAGGGGCAAGGTATTGACCTACAAGTTCCAAAGAGCAAAACTGCCTTCAAACCAGTACCGACAGCAGGAACGGGACTGACCAAAGATAAACACCCAGAGTCCCTGAACTAGGGGTCCCATTGCAATCTGATAAAGAGATGTTGACATCCATGGGCCTGGCTAGAAACCAGGAATAGGAGTCTGCACCCCCATGTGTCTGGGCACATATACAGTATTCCTGATGATATCTTCATCCTCCTGGACCCAACTGCTCCCCTACCTGATCCTTGCAAAAGGTCCAGGAATGGCACAAGAGAGAAAGCTGCACTCCTGTATCTTCTACCGCCCTTAGAACTTGAGCCTAATTTCACTCAGAAATCAAATGTTATTTTGGGAGTATTGTCTTCCGCACCAGGACAGGATGTTAGCCCAAAGAGAGGGTCCAGTGTCTCCTAGGATTCTTCATGGCCTTCTAAAACAGGGTACCTTCTTCATGACTGATGGTGCCTTATGCCAGGGGAACCTCCCCAACAGACGTTTGACCCCCTCTCACTGGTCTTTCTGGGGACCATAGGATCCATACATGAATTATCCTGAATCTACATGCCCATCAGGAATCACATCATCTTCTCCCTCCCAGAGAGGCACCTCAACTTCAAGAACCACTGGAGGAGGAAGAACTGGAACTGACAGTAATCCTGGTTCCAACTGGAATATCATGATCATCCCCTTATGAGGTAGTTGTGCTAGCCTCCTCTTCTCCACCTGATGACTTCAGGCAGTTTCAGGACCTATTAGGAGGGTTGCATACACATTCCAGATTCCATTGGAGGAAGTGCAAGAGACCCCTCACAAACTTCTGGACATTCTACAGATTGCAGGGCCTATCAAATGATACTTCCCATTAATGAGGCCATCTTAGAGCCAGCTAAGATTGCCTGGTGTATCCAGTCAACTTATTTAATCATCGGATTGTGTTCCCTATTGCTGTGGTTAATTCATATGTAATCAGTGTGTGATGAATAGGTTACGATTTAGTAATGGGTATTTTTAGTAAAAGTCATGGACAGGTCACGGGCAATAAACAAAAATTCATGGCCCATGACCTGTCCATAACTGATACCATAAATATCCCTGACTAAATCTTAGCGGGGGAAGGGGGAGCCCCAGGGGGCCCATTGCTGGCGGAGGGTTGGGGCCAGTGGCACCAGCTGACAAGGGCTGCTGAGCAGCAACTGCTCCAGCCGCCCCTTGCCACTTCTTGGCCGCCCCATGACCACTGTTGAGGGCCACCGAACAGTGGCTGCTCTAGCCACCTCTGGGACCGCTGCTCAGGTGGTCCCTGGGGCCAGCCGTATTGGCCGCTGCTCAGGCAGTTCCCTGAGCCAGCTGCCCGGGGCTGCCCGAGCAGCGGTCACTGTGGCTGGCCCCAGGGCCACTCAAGCAGCAGCCATTGTGGCTGGCTGCGGGGCTGCCCAAATGGCTGGCTGCAGAGCCGCACCAGCAATGGCTGGTGTGGCTGTCCCCAGGGCCAGCTGCTTGGGCGGCTCTGTGGTCCACTCCTTCCGATAAAGAGACTGACCATTCGCATCTCCTCAGGGGGAAAGTTTTCTCCTCAATCACCTCAGTACTGGGGAAAGCACTTTTTATTCAAAATATTTCCTCATCCACAAAAAGAAAGGGGGAGGATAGAGACCCATCCTAGATCACCACTGAGTGTTGACTCAGACGACTGGCTCACAGCTCTTGATCTGAAGGATGCCTACTTCCATATAAACATCCCACCCCTTGTAGGTCTGAACCACCAGCAGTACCAGATATTACCCTTTGGCCTTGCAATAGCATCAAGAGTACTTACAAAAGTGCTGTCAGTAGTGGCAGCTCACTCTGGCGCCACAGTTCATCAGTCTTCCCCAACCTCAACAATTCTCTAGTGATAGAGAGATCTCAGCTGGAGGTATAGAGAGCAGCCTCATCCCTGCTCTTTGCTAGGACATTGTGTAAACAGAGATGTCCCACACAGACTATAGAGTTTATTGGAGCAACACTGAACTCTATTGGTGTCAAGGTATATCTTCCTCAGGACAGATTGCAGTCCATAAAAGATCTGGTCTCCCAGCTCAGACTGAGCCCATCGATGTCAGTCTATTTGTGCCTCATCCCCCGAGGGCACGTGGCTTCCTGCACCTGTGTGATGCCCTTGATGAGGCTCTGCCTTTGTTGCCTGCAGCCTTGGCTTTCAACAGTGTATGCCAGGGGTTCTCAAACTGGGAGTCGGGACCCCTTGGGGTCGCAAGGTTATGGGGGGGTTGCGAGCTGTCAGCCTCCACCCCAAACCTCGCCCCCAGCATTTATAATGGTGTTAAATATATTTTAAAAGGTCTTTTTAATTTATAAGGGGGGAGGTCGCACTCAGAGGCTTGCTATGTGAAAGGGGTCACCAGCAGAAAAATTTGAGAGCCACTGGTGTATGCAGTGTATGGGCAAGTTAGACTCGTTCCCTCACAGAGTGTGAGATTCTCTAGCCTGATGGGGCAACAAGGAGCAAATGGATGCTCCTCTGCTTTCGTCCCCCACCTGAGAAAACATTGATCATATATGCTTCCCTGCTGTGGTGGGATGCCCATCCAAAAGAGCATACAGCGCAAAGGACATGGACTGCCCAAGAGCCCAGGATGCACATATAAACCTCCTAGAATTGCAAGCAGTCTGTAAGGCCTGCAAACAATTCCTACCACTCTTGTAAACCCACCACATTCCAGTGATACATTCCACTACACGACAACAGTTTTCTACATCAGTAAACAAGGGGGAGCAAGATCTATCCCTCTCTGCATGGAAGCTGTTAATCAGAGTGATCTGGTGACTAACTAATCGACATTGCTAGTAAAAATCTTCCGGTCTCAGGCGCATGGAGCACATGCATGCTCTTGGTGGAATATACAAGGTAAGTAACCTCTCTTTGCAAGGCTTCCACTACTACTCTTTGACTACTGTTTCACAACACTACTTGGAAGCTCTTCCTGATATTCAATCTGAATTTTCCCTTCTGTAATATTTTTCAGTTACCCCTGCTAGAAGGAAGAAACCCTCCCTGAGCTCACTGCCAGATATGTCATATCTCCTCTTATCTGATACTGAAAAATAGGAGGAGCGGTGCTTGGATAATACCCCCAATATGCATAATTTGCACTGAAAGTCAGCCATTTGTATGAATGAGTTCTGCATTCCCTGTTTTATGTAAAAAGGGCTCCTACCATATTTGGCAATACTGTTAGTTTAAATGTATAGATCATTAATATTGTATGAAAGTATGATCACGATGATCCTTTACAGGGGCAACATGATCCTTTGGGGGGGATTATAGCTCAAAATTATAACTCAAAAAACTTCTTGTCCATTTCAATATATTTCATTGTATATTGTGTTGTCTGTCTACAGTATGAAAGTGATAAAAAGGTTTATTCCTCACCATGCATATCTTATGCATAATTTGGAGTAAAACAATCTGTTTAGGACAACATGGTTAATATCTAGCTTTTATCACCATTTTACTTAAGGTTATGCCGGAAAAATCAGCCAGATGCCAGTAATTTTGACACCATTGCATTTTGACCGAGACCCCCTACAGAAACAACCTTCCTGCCAGAGATCTGTGGTTATTCGAACCTTTATCACTAGTGACTTCATGACAGGCATTGCAGCAACTCCTGGCAATGAGATCCCAGAAGAGGTAATTGTTGCTATTTATTTATTTATTTTTAATTCTTTTTGGAGTGAGCTGGTACCCAAGATAATTTTCATATTGTCTGTTTTTTGGGTGATTTATAACTTAAAACTTTAAGATAACTTTTGTAAATGTTATGTAATACTTGACTCCTGTTTACTATTTTGATTTGGAAGTGTACTTTACCTAAAGGGAACCCTGCCATAGAATAAGCCCATAAGGATGTTGTGACAGGTTGGTAAAACAAGGCAACAGTCAAAAATCACACTACTTAAGAATATTCACCAAAACTTTCAAGCCTTTGAGGGTCTAGAATTAGGTGCTTGCTTCCATAGTTAGAAGCAGCCCAACTTTCAAAAGTCATTGATTTCAGTGGGAGTTGTGGTTTGCTCAGCACTTCAAAAAAACTGACTAGTTATATTGAGGTGCTTACACAGATTTGGGAGCCCAACCTTAGGCACTTGTTTTGCTAATTTTAGCCATTCCCACCATTCTCATGTACTTTGAAGCTTTGAAAAAAATATGGTATGTGTAAAGAATGGTATAAATCTGACCTTTTGAGTTTCTTGGGTTTACTATTTTTCATTGTCTCAGTCCTAATTCACACTTTTTTTTTAAGTCTGTGTTTGGAAATTATTCCTGCATAGGTCAGAGTAGCATAAATACGTATGATTATAAATTCTTTGACTTGGCTCAAGGAAGTCTTATGTCATAGATTTTAAAAATATAGATAATTAAAATGTAAACATAATATATGAAACCATTCCAGTGTACACACATGGGATCTTCATTTTAACTGGGAGTTTAAATTTCTAATTTTACATCTTAAATGCATGTTTTGTGCTATAAAGCTTTGGTGTCTCATAATGTTGAATAGTAGCATTGAAACAAAATAGCATTAAATGTGTGGAAGAAATGTAAACCTAAGGAAGTAACTGAAGTTGATTTAAAATTCCAGTTGCTTGTGGATAGCAATACTGTGTTGTGGCATATGGATTTGTATATTACTCTACAGTACACACTAATAGGATACCTGGAACAAAATATATAATTACACTGTCAGTGCACTTCAAGCTGTGGAAATTATTTGGCAAGCTTTCTTCTTTTGCAAGGAAGCTGAGACTTTTCTTATCGGATCCACAAATTATTATTCAATACTCATTCTGGGGCACGCTTTCTGACACTAACTGGTTTTTGAACTCTGGAAGGCAGGAGGCTCTAAATAGAGAACCTTTTTCTCTGGAACATTCTTTCTCTGTTGTTCCTATAGACTTCATTTGTCCAGAGCATGATTTAAAGTTCATCTTTTTATTCAGGCTGTTACTTTTGTGTGGAGTGGAGCTCATGTTGAGGAGTACATTTTTATTTTTATACTTTGCCAATTTGTTTGAAATTATTGGCTGTAGTATTTTATGAGGCTCTGAAATTTGGTATGATTGCTTCATTTTTATAAATTAAGAACGTTTTCAAGATAATTTTATTTTGTCAAGTGAAATGCTTTGTACTTGACTCCCACTTTTTTATTGGTGTCCTAATTGTAAGAGGAGAAGTCATAAAGGTAAGGATTTTTTTTTTGTATTTTTTTATTGGCATCCAATACTTGTAGTATTTGTTGATTCTTCTTTTTGCCTCAAGACTGCTATGGTAAAGAACTTTCTTTTAAATATTTCCATTTTTGTAGGATGCAGTTTTTCCAAAGTAAATCATGTCTCATGTGCTTTTTTTCCTTTTCATCATAGGTTGTGTTGAAGATGGTGACAGAGATTAAGAAGATTCCTGGCATTTCTCGGGTGATGTATGACTTGACATCAAAGCCACCAGGGACTACTGAATGGGAGTAACAAATTTTGTTTTTCTATTAAAGTACTGTGTGCAGTTTAAATTATATCAGAAACCATTCCCAGTGTTGACATGCAGTACTGTGAAAAGAGTGACTGGAGCTGCTACGTAACATCTGATTCCTCTCCTGGAGCATAAATCTGCAGTTAAGAGCTATGTTGGGGATAACTGTAAGTGGGGCTGAGGATTTGTACGGGTAAATAATCATGGCAGCATTGCCTGTGCGCAGACAGATTCATATTGCTTTTGCCTTTTGTCTTTACTGATTCTTCCTGTTTTCATGTGTTTTATTGTTACTGTCATTTCAATGTCTCTGTTTTTGTACACTGTGTAAAAAGAGACAGTTTATTTACTTTTACCAAAATCATTGTTACAGCCTAAAAATGTAAAATGAATAATTAATGTGACCAACTGCTTTTGAACAGATTTATTATTATAAATAAATATTTTGCCAAATGGAGTAGTGGGTACTGTTGAGTTGTGGAATTAATGTGTATCTGTTTGCTGTGTACTGGTAAGCCTGTTCTATATTGTTGGAAGTATTAGCCCATGGCAATAACACTGAATTCTGAAAGATTGATGCTAAAATAATATGAAATGTCCTTTCATCTTCCTTTTTCTGCCTACTCCGTCTTACATCACTTTCTCTTGACAGATTGAGAATGTATGTGGACAGCAAACACGTACATCTATATTTCTCATCAAGCTTCAATATACATTTAATGATGTCTGGTAGTATAAAATATAAGGCAGAATATACTCTGGGGACTCTGATGCAATGGTAACAGTGGGAGTGAAGTTTGAGTAGCTCGTTGCATCAGAACCACCAGTTCTAGTTAGTGTGACCTAGTTCAGTTTTGATGTTTTTTAAACTCCTGCATAACAACCCATCCCATCCCACTGCCTGTTCCTGCATTTTTGTTTATACTTGGTAAGAGTTTACTGTATAGAGATTTCCTTTTACAGGGGAAGTATTTGTGTGTGTTGTACAGAGTTTGATTTTAAGATTGTTAGGCTCTTTGAGTATCTAGTTGTCATCAGAGGTGACTTAGCCAAGCACAATACAAATTACTTCAGTCATTTGTACATTGCTGTTTACTATTTAAGTAAGGGGTAACTCACAAGAAGGGATATAGTTATATTGGACCGCCCATATTTCTCTAGTATGTTGAGGCCAAAGGCCAAGTATTTCCAGCCACCTAAGGAATTTGGGAATCTCAGATAACTACAGTCCTTGAAGTGTTATTCTTGTAACAGTTAAAGGTTCTGACCTGAGCAGCATTACTAGATATTTGCACAGTTGGAACCTTAGTTATGTATCCAGATTCATTCTTTTCATCATGTCCATTTTTGAAACTGTATTTCATTCAGCTGTGAAATTACCGTATATCTGTTATAAAGTGGGGTAGTTCAGAGCTGTCTCTGATCACTTATTTTCCTTTACATAGATTTTTTTAACTGGAATAGTGGCTGATAAACATTTATTTTAACAAATTGACCACCATTTGATTCCACATGTTTTCGATTTTTAGTACTACTGCATAAACTTATACTATAAAAGTTTAGTTTAATTAATCACTTTTTAGTGTCATGATACTTCTACCTATGCCACTTGGGAGTTATGTATCTTAGTTATGGGGTAGGATATTGTACAGAAGCATCTTCCAGTTTTTTGAAAAGTTTAATGAACATCTCACAGTGTAGAAATGTTGTTAGTGGTAGGGAGGCAGAAGGCTCTAGTGGCTAGAGCACATGACCAGAAGTCAGGATACCTGTTTCCAATCCTAACTCTCCTGCTTTGACACCTTGGGAAGTCATGTAACCTTAACCTCTATGTGCCTCAGTTTTCTCATTTGTAAAATGGGGATAATAATTACCATACCCATCCTTCTAGAGCTGTATGAGCTCTTTGGATGAAAAGTGCTATGTAAGTGAAGTATTGCTATTATATATAATGCAGTCTTACTATTGGACTATGAGCTGTAAAAATTTTCAATTAGAGTAACTTTAATGACCAAAAGTTAAAAAGTATTCATTGGGACAGAAAAATATTCCATCTTTCAGTCCTCTTGAAAACAGCCATTTTAACTCCTCTTCCATAGTTCAATTTTAACAAATCTCCCTGATGAAATTATGGCCTTAATACTATATTTTTAATTTTTGTCATAACTGTACTGAGGATAGTTATTTTCATGAATGTAGAACTGTATAATACACAAATGACACAATCACAAGTAGATACGGGCAATTCCATTTCAGTGAGCTGTAGAGATTCTCTAAATACAACTATATAGCCTTTGTTGCTTACTGTACGTAAACTTGCTATTATTGCTGCTGTCATCAGTTCTGCAATGTTCTAAATTAGACCTTGAGAGCAAAGAGAGGGGAGAGGAAATGGGGAATGAAGCACTAAAGCTTATTACCGAAATTAGAGGGCATCTCTTTAACTCTTAGAATACTGGCATTTTTCTGACTCTTCTTCTAAGGCATTTATTTAGTTGGCATTCATGTAAATAAATATGGAGTATATAGTCTCATAGTTATGATGTAACTCAAAAGAAGATACAGTACACAGTCTGGCCATAGCATCCAGAGGGTTAAATAAATTGTACCTATTGACTGCAACATACATAAATTCAGGAAGAACATTTTTCATATGTGGTGCACATTATATACTTAAGTCAAACTGTCATAGGAGTTGCATCTTAACTATGGTTATAGTATATACACGTATACAGTGTGTGTATTGAAGTTTGATGTATATATTTTCATCATATCTGATCTACACCATAGTAGATTGCTTTCAGGTCTCTATTAATAAAGTGGAGCTTGACATACCCCATATTTTTAGGGACATCTTTTTTACTAGAAAAATGAATATTAGAATATATTTAGGGTATATAAAATATTGCATTATGAACAGAATGTCTTATTTGAATAAGATTCCTAGGTCTTAAAATATCTCCCACCCTTTTTGTTCAATACCCATACTATACATTTGGGAAATGTTGGGTTATTCTTAGTGAGGTTGACATCAATTGCCATCCCAGCAGTTCTTGAATGTACTTTATGGAGTCGACATATGGAGTACAGCCAGATGCAAAGGGAGAATAGCATATTTTTACATTAGGTCATAAGTAAATTTAGTATATAGCTTACTAAAAACAGAAGTGTAGCTGCCCTGTACAACTTGTTCACCTCAGGTCTTCAGTGAGACATGTCAACATTTTAAAAGGAATTTGTATTGGGGGGTGAGGTATTTCCCATCATTCTCAATTTTTTTAACATTTTTCTGCTTGTGAAATGATATCGAGTACTGTGAGCCTTAATTTTTATCCACAAATAAAAAATATACAGTATGTTACTTTTTTGAATGTGTGTGTAATTTATTATGTGGGACTTCAAAGCAGGAATTGCATTTGAGTGGATGGTCCATTTTGGAGCCAGGGGTGAGGGGAGGGAAGAGCAAAAAAGATGAAATCACTGTCCTTGAGTCTTGAACCACTTGCTAGAGAAACATCCAGGAGCAAGAAAGCATCTCTATAAGGCCATGCGCTGCCTCCCTTCAAAATATTGTGTGAGATGCATTTAAAGTGGTCATTGATGATTGTGCCTAACACTTATGATCAGTGGGAGGATGGGTGTAATGCTCAAAGAGGAGAATAGACTTGTCCTAAACTTTTCAGTGAAATATGAGGTTTGAATTTAGTCTCGCCTTTACTGTGATGATAACATTATTCTCTAGCTTCTCATGTGAAATTCCTTCAAAGAAGAAGAGCGTTACATTTATACTTACGGCATTTGTTTAAATATAAAAAACAAACTGTAGCTAATGGACCTATATGGTTTTATAAATCCTCAAACTCTATTTCTCTTTTATGACTATATTACAATAGTGATCAGCCTATGCTCTTCCTAATTTGAAAATTCAGTACTGCTTATAAATTGCCCCTCTCAAAAAAAGAGGGCAGTTGAAATGCTTTTGCTCACGAGACACATTGCCACATGCAATCTTAAATGCTTGCTGTCAGCACCAATAGCATAAATGAGCATGGAACATTTGATCATGTATCTCCCCTTTGGAATGAATTAAGTATTTTCTTTAGGCATACAGCTGTAAAACTGCTTTGTAAAATCTGTCTCAATAATTGAACCTATGTTTGAGAAAATGTATCAGTTGTCTAGCATTCAATCTCAAACGTCACGGTCCAAATGAACTGTGTTGCCAGTACTCCTGAAACGTATTTTATGCAGAGTCCTGCCAGGATTTGAACCGCTGGTTCCAGTAGCACTATGTACTTCAGATTTATTTGCTGAGTGCCAGTAGTCTGTTCACTGCTTTGAATGACCAAAAAAACCCCAAACAAACAAACAAACAAAAAAAACCCCACCATGTCCTGAGGAGATTAAAATCTATTTGATGCTTAGATCACAAAATCATTCCCTTCAGGATTCCTTACAAATATTCCAGTGCATTACACAACCCTCTTATGCCTACATTCCTAAATTGTTAATTTTATTGCTGCAGTGCTACATGAAAAAACAGCAGCATTCTCTGCAAACTAACCCTTTCCCTTATTCTTTGATAGTGGAAATACCCGTGGCCTAAAGAATAACAAAACTATCTATTAAATTTGACATTCAAGGACCATAGTTGGAGTGACTTGTAAAATGGAGATTTTTTTTTGTTTTGTTTTATTTTTTTTCATTCTTAAAACAACTTCTCTGTGAATTCTTCAAAAATTCAAGCTTTTTTTTAAAACAAACCAACACAAAAATGCCAGTCGATGATAGTTTGTATTGTTGTGGGTTGGGTTAAACCTTGCTTAAAATGGTGGGTGTGACCTCCACCTGTCATTGAAGATAACTGAAAGAGACAGCTAAGCAGCCTCCACCTAAGACAAGGGGGGGTATGAGAGCCCATCCAGGAATTTGAGCCATATTGGCAGAGGGCTTTTGCAGGGCCTGGTTTGACCTAAGGGTTTGTGTGAGTGAGAAGCAAGAGGGGAGAGACTGAGAAGGAGCAGAAAGGGAGACATAGCCTGAACAAGAAGCTGGTGGTACGATGCTGAGAAAAAGCCTAGAGAGCAAGCTCTTGGGAGTAGGGGCAGCGGGGGTGCTGACAGAGTTAGTTTCCTTGGTCACAGCACCATCTCCTGTTTGGTTCCTCCTGTGTTCAGTGAAACAGGATTTTGTATGTTCTTTGTAAATAAACAAGTACGCCAAAGAAAACATCCGACTCACCAATTTCTCCTCCCAACTGGAAAGAAAACCTACAAGATCCTGAATTTTGGCTAGCTACTTACATCAAAAGGGGTAACAATATATTTACTGGGAGGTGCTATAAAAGAAACTTGATCTTTGAGGTAGGGTTCTCTATCTAAAAGACAGACAAGTGAAGCACTAACATACTTCATAAAGAAGTAGTGAGGAGGGTTATGGGGTAGGGACATGAGATTG